TTTGATTTTTGTACTTGATTTATATGTTGATCCCACATTTCTCCTATTATTATTATTATTTTTATTTTTAATAAAATGCTGAAGTAGTAGGTAGATGCAAGATAAAGGTAGAAAACATAGTTTAGTGCTGTAAGAGGGCAAATGTAGATGATCAGATGATCAGGTGTGTGCCTATGGACTAAGTATTAATCCAGGCTAGACAAGGGCAGCAAAACATCCACGGATGCAGAAGATTTCTCTCAAATGTCTACCTCTTTTTATCCAGAAATTACTTTCTTTGCTATTACTTTGGAGTCTTCACAACTCATCTTTTATGCACTTCGTGGAGTTGAGTTTCAAGTTAGGCAGCACACAACATATGGGTTAGGGAGTCACTTTGCCATTTCTCCCTACTTATGTTTCTTGCCCAACTTTCTCATTCAGGGCTATATATCTTGTCTCTTTAAAATTTCCTAGAGTTTCTCTTAAATGTCACTAATTTTAATAGCTTAGCAGCGGCAATGCTGCTTTCTGGCCATGTCCTGACAGCAGCATCAAAGCAAAGAGCTCAAATTTCACACTTTGATTGATGAGTTCATTTTGTTACAGAGGACAAATTGGATTTTTTTTTATACTGGTAATAAAAATTAATGTGTGATGTCGCTTTTCGGATGTTATTGGATCTGTGCGTTAATACAGATTTCAGCAATAAAAGCACTAGCAGATAACTTGACCAGAAAGTTACTTCCCTCCCCTCTAAACTACTATCCAGAAGTAAAAGGTGCTTTCCTAATCTGCTCGTTCTGGTGCATTTATGTGCTTACGTATGAATGAACGTATGCATGTGTGTGTGTGTTACTGACCCACATGGGGTTGAGGGCTGTGGGAAGAGCAGTAATGGTCTGTGTTTCCATTTTCCATATAATTGTGATGTTTATTTCTTTTCATTTCAGCACCTCCAAGGTTTACACGAACTCCTGTTGACCAGACAGGGGTCTCTGGTGGAGTTGCCTCGTTCATTTGCCAAGCTACGGGAGACCCAAGACCTAAAATTGTCTGGAACAAAAAAGGAAAGAAAGTCAGCAATCAGAGATTTGAGGTATTAGGTCCATTGTTCTGTTTCTCTGGGGGAAGAATGTATCTGCTGTATTTTTGGTTTGTATGTTATGCGCTTGTTTTACTCTGACAAGGTGTCATAATCACTGAGGGGAAATTTGTGTTGCATATGATGGCACACTAAACTCAAAAGGATTTTTTTTAAGGGATTGGGGGTTAGGGGTTCGGTGACTGACTTTTGCTTTTACTTGTACCAGGGCTCAAGTAGTGTTCCTAGCTTCCATTTGCAAGCCTCATCCTCAGACTGCTTCATCTTATGATTGCAAATGGGCTCTCACCTCTTCCCATAACCGGGTCTAGAGGATGAGTAAAAGGGTCCTTTGCCCTTGGCTCTTACTGAGTTACATGCTCATCTGTGAACCAGTCTGTGCAGGCAGCGGATGGCACAGGCTAACTAATTTAAATTAACCAGGATCTACCTCTGTTGCTGGGAAGGAGGTCAATTCCATCCCACCCCATGGCTTGGAATGAGAGGGCAATGTCTTCTCAAAGGGAATTCAAATGTCCATTACTAGCAAAAAGGGGATTAGATACTGGGCAGCAAATGAAGTTGTCGACTGCACCCCACATCTGTGTTTTACAAGCTGTGTGAACCAGATGAGAAATTTGCTCCCATGTGTTAGTGTAAAGTATTGATCTGGAAGAAACCTACCCAACAAGATTGATATTGTAGTTAAACTTAAAGAAGAAATTGATTTTATTTAAGAAAGCTTACTGCATTAAAGATGATGAACCATAGTTAAGATATTATTTTAGGTGCTTTTTAGGGGCTTTATGGTTTAGAAATTTGATCACTCTGGAGGAGAAAAATAGGTGATAAGCTACACAGAGAAAAATTAGATGAAGCATATAATACCATGCCAAAATTTAAGACAGTAAGATGATAGCTTGATTCTTAAGAGTCCTAACACCTCCAAACTGCCCTAAATTATAAAACTCACTTCCTCTTCCCTGAATGTCTAATCCACTTCATAGCCTAACTCACAATTTGGTAAATTAAAGGCAATTCCTAGTTGAAGAAACAGCAAGTATAAAATTCGGAACATTTTGTTTTTACTCATTTTCCATCAGTTCTCACACAGTGATAAGTGGTGCAAATGCATAAAAGGCCTAATTAATTATTCTGGCAACAATAAAATCTGGACTGTAGTTTACAAACAATAAATATAAGATTTTTTGTTTGAAAATCAAATACATACAAAGATTTAAACATAAATAGAGTATTAAATAATATTTGAGAAATACTTTCTATATCATGTAGAAAACAATATGTGTGTGAGCTTGACATCATGCTTGCTAGTGATGATGACTTCTTGACAAAATCTTGTAACAAAGATTAAATTATAATAGTAAACATTTCGAAGTGTGAGTGAGCTCTGCTCAGTACATAACTCCTAATGAGAATCCTACCATACATTCAGGGAAAAATAAACTATTTTTCCATAAAGTGACTACATCATATAGTATTAAGTCATAGGTTGAGAATCTTTAATATCTGTCAGATTATGTACGTATTTTTTTATTTTTGCTGGTTTGCAAACCCCCGGAGAGCAGCGGGTGAGACTAACTTTCCTCTCTCTTCTATCTCCAGAGTAAATGTAGCATCTGCCTAGAGCAGGTTTACAATAAATACCAGATACTAAATAGAGTCTTCAAACTGGAAACCACAACACTACCTTGCAATGCATGGCATACTTTTGTTGTGAGAGGGTAGGTCTAAATCTAGACAATAGTTCAGAAATGTAGACATACAGTGACATGCAACAATTGATCAAAAGTTGTTAAGAAAGTAGATCCTCAGAGTTCTCATCACGAGAACATTTTTTTCTTTGTTTTTTATTCTAGCTACATGAGATGATGAATGTTAACTAAACCTGTTGTGATAATCATTTCATGATATATGTAAATCACCATAGTGCTGTAGCCCTTCAATCTTACAAGTGATGTGTGCCAATTATTTCTCAATAAAACAGGAAGAAAGTTAGTCACAATTTACATTGGTAATAAAGATGTTTAAACCTTTCTCTACATTAAGCCATAGGAATTCTCATGATTTTTTCAAAGACATACGGCATATTTGACAAAGATTCCAATAACTGCTTTTATGGGGTAAACTGTTTCAGTTCATAATGGTAGTGAATTCAGGCTTACTGTTTAGGACATTAATTTTCTGCCTGGTGAAGCGAGCTTCCATTTTACAGCAAGAATGCCCTGAAAGTGCAGAAAATGCTAAGCTAGAACAAATACTGAAATGATTTATGGCAAAATTAATGAATGCCATCAGTCTCTGAGGTTGTGAATGCCATCTCATTGGCTGCCTAAGCACTAGATTTATGCAGTTTCTCTTCATGGTTCGCTCATCTCTACTACTCAGGATGAGACACTTTAAACCAGAAGAGCTATCTGAGGTGGCATGCACTATTTCTTTGCAGTCTGATTATTGAGTGGATCCATATATGTAGATGTACTGTTAGACAGAATAATTTGAGATGTTTAATCATCATAGCAGTGAGTCTTTGGCAAAATTAATAGGGTCAAATTGCCCTAGATACACATACTAGAATATTTTCATCAGGGAACACTGAATAGTTTTCAATAGAGAGAAATCTACAGTTTTGCATATGTGGTTTCATGTCTTTCCCTTTGTTCAGTCGAAGGTTTATGAAGTTAGATCATTATTGTTTCACTTGTGTCAGAAGTCAGTCTCAAAGTGCTGCAGAGTTTATTCCGAGCCTAATGGCTGGTTCCCACCACACTGAGAATTTTAGCTGAGAGGTAGGCAATTGTGACAACACCTGTGACAGCTGTCGTTTCCTCTAATAGGTAATAGAGTTTGACGATGGATCTGGATCAGTTCTAAGAATACAGCCCTTACGAACTCCGCGGGATGAGGCCATTTATGAATGTGTGGCTTCAAATAATGTGGGAGAAATCAGTGTATCCACCAGACTCACAGTTTTGCGTGGTAAGTACTCGAGCACAAGGCTGTTGCTTGTGTTGTGGTTGAAATTCTGTGTCCCAGGTTTTCTTTTGTAGGACCATTAGAAAGCCGCTATCATGACCCTTAAATGTGAAATGAATTGAAGGAAAATGTTTACAGGTGTCACATTTTTTAAACAGACAGTAGGTGACTTCTGTCATAGGTCTTGAAAAATGTTTATCAGAGAGAGAAAAGGAGATCTCTAAGAAGTGCTAATTTCAAATGCTAGATACCATTTTGGTTTTTGGTAGAGAATCTAAAAGGAAATAGGGTTTGCTACTCTTTTGCATGGTAGCATTATTTGTGTATGAATTCTTCATACCAAGGTCAGCAACTACTTTTTACAAGTTACCAAGGCTGACATTGATATTTGCAAAATTAAAAGGGTGTCCTCACCCTAAAGATAAGTTCAGTTCCTCTTAAGCAGAGAAATCAAGAATAAGAAAGGTACCTTCTTTAAGTCAAAAGATGTGTTTTTATTTCAGTCCTCTGTATTTCTTGAATTAGCATCTGCTGTCACAAAGTGAATGGAAACAGTGTGTCCCCTTCTATGTTTTCCCCTATATGGCTTATGCAGTTTGAGCAAAACCTGAGATGGCCTGCAAAATATCCAGCACAGTATGTCTACTTTCTAGGCTTCCTTAGAATGACACTACTAGTGAATAAAGGCTAGTGATTAATAATACTCTGTTGTATCGCTCTAACTCACTCTTTTGTGCAGAGATAAGAATATCGTCTGATTTGGCTTGCCTAGCAGTTGACATGTCTAGACTAACTTTTCTGTGCCCTTCTCTGTCTCTCTCTCACACACTTTTATTTATTTGTTTCTTTTGTTTTGCTTTGAACTTCATTTTGCTTGATTCCGTGACTTAGGAGAATAGACTTTCTTAAGATGAATGGAACTGGAGAGAAGAGATTAAAATTTACTAATCACAGAGGGGCATATATGGATTAAGAACATTTCTCCTCTGTTCCATTTTTTCCTGCTGAGGAATATATTTACTTTGTGGGTTTTATAAAATGATAATAATAAAGAAATAAAAATAATATAATAATAATAATATTAAATAGACCTATTTAGTAGAAGAACTAATTAGTTAATTCAAGAATACTAGAAACTGAGATTATTCATCCTAAAATATGTTTAAAATAAAATAAATCTCTTACTGAGTCTCAGGGGAAATACTAGCCAGGTGGATATAACTCTTTTGATGTGTGTTACAGAATACTGCTTAAAAACAAACAAGTCAGATCTGAACTACATTTCTGGACATTATGACAAGATAAGTTCACACAGGAAGTTTTCCATTCCCCCCATAAACACACAAAGATGTTGATGAAGTATCTAAAAATTAAATTCATGATTATTCTTGCCAACAAAGAGAGGCTCTCCAGAGAAGAGACAAATTATAATCATATCACCCAAGGTAATAACTCAAAGTACTATATGCTTTAGGGCTAGAATTTTAACTCTTCAGCAGGACATACATGCCGATATGAAATAAAATGGAAGTAAGAAGAGCTAGATCAGTGTTCTACCTAAAGGTGAGAATTCTAACACTATTTCTAAAGTGTAATATTCAAAACCCAGAAGTAACATAAAAACTGGTCAAAAACAGTGGATCTCATAGAGCGTGGACAGCCCTGTAAATACTCGCCCCACAGAGACACGCCCACAGCCCCCGAGAAGGTTGTCCATACCCAGGTGGACTCCTAGGTGTCAATCCCAGAGCATGAAAGCCAGTTCCAGCTCACAAGGGGCAGCAAGCTGAACTGGTGAGCGGAGAAGTCATGGTCTGTGAACTACAGACAATAGAACTGCATGAATGGGTTTTAAAAGAAATGCATTTTAAATATTTAAAAGGTAAATGAAAGAATAAAACTTGTCAGGCAAGAATGAGTCATTAGGGAAAAAAAGAACAGACATGACGCAAAAGTCAGATTTTAGAATTGGAAAGAATCTTAGAGACTATACATACTATGATATATACCACCAAAATCATGTACATATGTGTATGTACATTAACTTAGATAAAAGGTCTTAAAATACTAGAATCATTTTTCCTGCTGTTCAGATCTGAAGCAAAATCAGATTCATTTGTTGATCTTTAAAAAAACTACTCTTCATTTATATACCTAGCTTAGAACTAATGCTATTATGTAGAAAGTGAATTACAAAGGTAAAATAATGTGAAAATCATCAGAAACATTTTTGGGGTTTTTAACTTATAAGCCCCTTGAATGAGCCCCTTAAAAGGAAACAATGATAGTCGTCTGGTTTGATTTGGTTTTTATGCATTTGATGAAGACATTAAGAAAAAATTGTGGTAAATATCACTTTATTTAGACATTCACATGGACTTACATTTTCCTGCCTCCCAGCTATGTAGGGTCCCCCCATCTCATCTGCTTTTATCGGAGTAACTCCCACATAAAACAAATACATTTGAATATTTTTATGTGATCTTGGTTTTCTATGTGCGTATCTGTCATATGTAAGCACATCTGTATGAAAATTTATGACTCTAGTAAAGTAGCTAAAACTTCTTATTTTTTTAAAGACTATGTTTAGCAATTTTGGAAAAGTTTCATGAGAAAACCCAAAGGTATTTTGGATAATGGAAAAGTAGTCTAAACATAACTTCAACATAGAACATTTGCACATATCCTTGTAGAATGAAATAAATGGGGTTGGGAATTATCTGTGTTTCTTATGGTTACCTCTTTGTTAAACATTTCTAAATAATTATTGATAATTCTATTAATAATGGTGTTTAAAAAATATTCCAGTGGTAAAATTGCTTATGTAGAATATGAACATTGCCAACAGTTAACTAAATGAATGCGAAAAGTTTCATACTACATTGATGAGCTTTAAGTCCATTTTAAGTTTGCTTTCTCTTGCAAATCACATTGGCAAATATTCAAGCTCTCTGCTCTGCAGTGGCTGGAAACTGCTTTACATTGTTCATCCAGTGGCCCCCATCAGACGCCCTTCTTGTCCACATGGGTCATTTAGTTTTTCCCCACTTTGCTGACAATGCCAAAAATGTGCCGACTGTCATGATGGGTTTTGTCTAAGTTGGCTGGATGGAGATCACTAATTTATTTCACACAGGCTACTAGAGAACCTAATTAATTGGAGATTTAAACATCTGACCTGTGTGGCTAACGCAGAAGATGTTGATATAATACTCTGACCACTCACGTACGTTCAAGGGAGTAGTACTTCAGGGAATACAATCTCTCTGTAGCACATTTCAAATTACTCTAGCTCTGAAGAACTGTTTTCATAAGGAAGTGTAACTTCAAGCTCAGGCTGAACATGTCCTGAAATGAGATATTTGTGCAATTACCATTTACACACTGTAGACCTCCGTTCCTAGAAAAGTAGCAGAGAAGGGGAAGTTGTTGTGGTACTTCTGACCTCTGGGTGATATTTCAGTGTTTTGGGTTGCCCTGCCTGTGGGAACTCTCTAGTTCTATGGCACTTTCGGACGTTGAACATAGCTGCTTACACATTTTCCTTCCTAAGCAGAACTCTGAGCGAAGGCCTCAGATCTCACCAAGAGGTCATTAAGGCCTGAGCCTTACCCACGTGTGGAATTCTAATCATTTAGGATTAGACATTAGGCTTTCAGTGAGGGGTGAGAGTAGGAACCATAGAGGGTGTTGTAGAAAGAGGGATCATCAGCTAGATGGAATTGGTTCTTTCTGAAGCTTTGGTTCACTGGCCACATTTTCTTCCAAAGATGTCAGGAGGAAAATTTATAGCATGAATTCATATAATGATAACGGGGGATGAAAATGTCCTCTCAGACTCATGTTATCCACCACTAGGCAAGGAAAATAAAGTACTCCCATCCATAGACTTTTCTTTCTTTTAAGAGTATAGGAGCATCTGCCTTTTTTAGGCAAGTAGGAAGACATCAAGAATCTTTCCTTTGCATACACAATTACCTTGTCAAAGAGAAAGTTATAGAAAAAATTTTATCAACTTTGCCTCTAATTGTCTGACTAAATGTCATGTTTCTTGACTTTAGACTTTGTTTGGGTTAGTAATCAGAAAATACACATTTTATTGTCATCCAAAGCAACATGTGCACTGTTATTTTTTTAGTGCTAATGGATTATTCCCGAAACTTGCCTGATCCCAAATAGCACTGCCCCCTACCACCACTGGCACTATCACAACAAAGCAGGGTATGATAAGTAACACTACTGTGCCTGTCTGTAGGAAACCAGCTTGTTCATAGGACACATACAAAGTAAAATTATTGTCCACTTTGCCTGTCCAAATATGAGATGATTAAGTTACCTAGTTTTACAGACAGACTTTATGAAATGATACTATGGTTGATACTTATGGCTCCATATAAATGCATCATCTTATGTGAATGATCACCATCAAGATATAGATGAAATAGAAAGTCCCCAAGTCTAGGTCTCAGGTTACTGGGAGTCCAACTCAAAACAGCCGTGGCACGTTGAGCAAATGTGTTAAACTTCCCTGTTTTTGTTTGGTTTCTGTTACCTCCTCTGCACAGGGAAGGCTTTGGATCGGTCATCGTTCAGATCACTTCTCACTAGCTTTCATGATTCACTGACATGCCCATTTCCACAAGCCAGTTCTTGCAAGATGGAAAAAAATATGCTTGCTGAAGGTGACCGTTACAGAGATAGTAAAATGCACAGTGAGCAGTTGGATGAGACAGAAAGGAATTTCACTGGGAAATAGAAATGTTTGCATAATATGTCGGTTTCAAAAAATGTAAGTCATTATAGCAGTTGTTAAAAAAAAAAAAACTTTTGCGGTCCTCCAGGAGGAAGGCAAGTAGACTCTCTCTGCCATTGTGCAGTATCCTGTGATCAGAATTAGCATGTTCATTACAGTCTCATTTTATTAATGCCTCTTTTTGAAGATGAACACAGTTGTTCCCGCTGTGAAAATGGTACTTTGCTGTTTATGTTATAAAGTGGTCTCG